GGAGAATATCGGCCTGAGGTCTTGACAGTACGGACCGAGTGCAGCTCGGGACAGTGCCCGGTCCAATACTGAGAGAATATTGACTGGCAATAGAACATTTTGATCGGTTGATTTTGGTTATTGGCCCTCTGACTGCCCGAGTCGTGTAATAAACAAACATATAGATGACTGTTAATCAAATTAGTATAATAATCATTCACAAAGTAGGATCAAAACTCAGATTACACCGTTCTTCATTTTCACATAACTTCACCGAACCCAATTGCACACGATAACGATGGTGTTGTATACTTTCAATCTCATGCACATACCCTAAATCAAGAAATTAAATTTTCATCTTTTCGGTTCCCACATTATGCCTTCGTAGTCGTGGACAACTCATTCAATATACTTATAAATGTTAGCAAGTACTTTGCTCGGCTCCGCGAATCATTAAAAAAAAAAAAAAGGCTGAGAAAATTACACGCACAATTTCTTACAAAAATTCAATTTCCAGGGCTCTCTGAGACCGGAAAAAGTTTGCGACAAGACAATGCCCAAAGTGGAATGTTTCCAATCAGTGATTCACTCCAGGGACCCTCGGAGTTTTTCACTTAATTTCTTGAATATTCAAACCTTAACCAGGTCTTTTATCCGAAGAAGTTTTGATCTATAATGTGTAGATAGCTGCCACACAAATATATATCAAGTCATAATGAAAAACGGATCATTGATGGCAACACGTACGTCCTGGACGACATCAGCAAATCATGTAAACAAACATTCTTTTCGAATAAACGTGTGGTTTCTACTTCGAAGTAAGAATCGTCTCATTCAGCGGAAATCTTTCCATATTTCTTCTTGAGGGCTGAGAGATAGTTGTGTTTTTTAATCTTCGGGAGAAAGGAAATCCTCAAGCCCTAATCAAACCGGAATTCGATATAAAAAATGGACCGAGCGAACTTAAGAATCGAGTTTGGCAGGTTTTCTATTATGCACAGTACCTGAATAGGATTTGTAGTATTATGAGAACGAAGTATTTCTCTAGTTACAAATTGTGCTAGAAGTTCTACACTTCAAAATGTCCCACCGCTCCATAAATGTGTCGAGTGTGTCGCCGAATTATATCAAACAGCCATCGAATCTTACCGACCCTGACTACAATCAAGTTGTTTTTCTCGCAAACACCAGATAAGCTCGGCAAACTGTTTTCGCTCTAAATGCACGAAACCAAGTACTTACCTTCGACAGTAAAGGCCTTCCGTAGAATTAACAGCTGAAAGATAGCCACATGAAGAAACAGGGTCGCCATAATAATTTACAGCGATATTTTTTTCGGAGGTTTTGAGAAAACCGCAGCTTCCTTGAGCTATAGCAGAAACAATTGTTCCTAAGAAGAACTTTCCTTTTCCATTCACTTCAAACCTGTCAGATTAAAATATCACTTCGGAAATTATTTCCCCATACTGATAGACAACGAAGAAAACGGGGAAATCTGTAACAGAAATGACAAATTACAGAGTTCATGTCGATCAGATAGGAAAAAAATCTTACCCTTCGGGGAGGTATGGGTTAAATTTCAGCGCCCTTAAAGTAAATAACTACCAGAAATGAGCCTCGCGTTTCTTCTCGATTTCTATCCTTTTCACAGCTCCGTGTTGCAAAAATTTCCTTCATTTAAAAGTACTAGCGTGGGATAACTCGTAAAGCACATACAAAAGAATAACTAAATAACTACAGCGTACGTCCTTATACCGGAAACAGAGACAACTTTCCCAGCTTGGGCCTTGGGAGACTCGCATGTCAAAAATGTGACGTATTTCCGGGGTTGTTTTTCACCTAACATCCCTCCCAACTTCCTTACGAGGAAAATTAAATGAGAGATCTAGAGACGACATATGTATTTTGAAAGCAACTCTTGAACTTGTTATAATCATTTTTCCTTCATTTGAATTTGTGATGTGAATTTTTATAAAAGCGATCCTTGCAAGACTTGAGTGTCGTGTGTTGTATTTTATTTTTCTACACTGGTTTTCCGCTGACCTAAGCTAGCGTACACCCACTTTAGTAAATACCAACATGGCGGAAATTCTGTGAAACGTTTCAGTGTTGGCCGATACACTGATTCGCTCTTTCGTTTTCGTTAAAATCAGAGTGCAGATGATTCTTTGATAATGAAGAAACAGTTTTATCGCGTGAAACAACTGGCTGACCAAAGGGTCGGAAGGTAATGGCTGCTCTTTATGAATTAGTCAACAGAATGTACGGAAGTCAACTTCAGTTGACTCCATCAGAACGCGTTTCTTTGACGTCTTTTCAGCTAAGCACTCTTTGATATGACACTTAAAGAATGATATGATTGTTTATTTATTTGTCATGTAAATATACTTTCAGAGCGGAGAAGACTGAAATTTTAACAGAGGATCTACAGCATGTGAGTTTAAGCATTACTTACAATTACAGCAAATCATTGATTTTTATCTTAAAAATCTAACATATATGCTGAGAAATCAAAATAGAATAACGTCGAATGTTTTGGTTTCCAACATTTTTGTTGCATGTTAAATGAAAGTAGACTTAGATTTAGCAAGCTGGAAGCAAAACCAACGCAGCTTCCTTATTCAAGATACGTATTTATAAATAATAGCTTTTACTAACTGACTCTTTAGTATCAATTACAAATTATATCATACTGAATAATTTGCAAAATACTCTGTCCTTTATTGAGCTAATGAAGATGATACAGTTAATTGCAATGCGTATAGGTGGATATTTCTAAGTTATATTCACAAATTGCACAACATGGGAACAAAGAGTATTAACAGTCTAAGCATATCAACATTTATGGCCTAAGGCCTCCCCATGCAGACATTCTTCAGATGCATTGGTATTCATTCTCTTGCAACAGATTTTTACAGATTAGGATTTGCAATGAGCCATATTACAGCTGTTTGACTGAAAAATGTAGCACAGACTGTAAACAATTTTTTGGATCCCTGTCAAATGTAATCATTGTGTGTATGACCCACCTTGTGATTGAGTTTTCTGAAGTTCACTTGCTGAAATATCAGAAGGTTAAATTGAAAGGTCTGAGGTTACAGTTCTCATGTGGAACTCAGACTTTTTCTTTTTCCCACAGTCATGGTAAATATTTCATTATTCTATAACATGTTCTGCCTTCAGTGTTCATCATTCAGTATCTACAGGTACATATAGTATGTACTGAAATCACTTTGCTGATTTGATGTATTATAAATCATTTAATAGGTTGAAAAGACTGTAGACAAAATCAAACATGCATGCCAAACAACAAATAAGAGGCTAGCTGCCTCTATGCAAGGTACTGGAATGGATTTAGAGAAAAGATTGGTAAGAACAGAAAATAGATTAATTCAGTCAACCATTTCTTAGCTAATTATATTTTTGTATAAATGGGTTTTGTAAACATGTGGTATTGTCTCATGGACTAAATAATTGAACACCAAACCCAGAGATAGCTGAAGAATAGTGGTCTTTTTTTAAAGAGGCAAGCACAAGTAAACTGCTAATTATGGCCAGTCACATGTGAGGGGAGGGGCTCAAAAGAAAGACTCTCCCCTGTGTGATTTGCACTTGCCTTGAAGAAGAAAATAGACATCTGTTAAACACTTTAAAGTCACATAGAAGCTATCTCTTAGGGTATTACTTAATCTGTTGTAGGCTGTGCTATTCCTCAAGTCATTACGCGGGTCGGATGATCTTGCTATGCTGTGGCCTCAAATGAGATCTGAACTTATGGTAATCATCTACCATATCCATCACGTTTAGTGCATACATTACGCCCTCTTAATTCACTTTTAACCAGCCACAATTTTTGTTTCGTGTTATTTGACTGTCAGGTAACCCAACAGAAATTTTTGGCATTTTATTTGCATAGATGCACAAAAGGGACTTTAGAACTAACTAACCTTTCTTCCTTGCCTCATGTCTTGGAATTCAGGTCACCAAAGTCAAAGTTTAAATCTTGAATTATAATTATTTCAGTCTTTTCAGGTAAAAATTGGACATTGTAAAAATTAGTATTTTTTTTTTAAGGATCGATGATGCATTTCCCAACCATAGCCACTTTAATGGCTGACATGTATTCGCAGGAGCCCATTAGGCTCCTGGTATTTGTCATTATCCATCTGTTGCTCACAGCATAGCAATGAGTTCAAATGTTTTTATTTTATTATGAAAATAGCATATTTATAAAGATGATGGTGCAGTTATTACCATGCACACTGTCACAGGAAAAAAGTAATCAGGTGAAAATCTTAGACTTAGACTCTCAACCAAGCAGTAGCAACAGATGAAAAACCTCTTTCATCTTTTACTCTTTTAAACTCTTACGCTGGTTTGTGTTGTCTATTTGCAAGCAGCTGCCTTGTGTTTGGAATTTTATTTCTTTTATTAATTTTTGTCTGTCTCCCCCTTTTTTTTTTTTTTCAGAGAAAACTTCACCAAACAGCTTTGGCACAAACCATGTTAGAATCAGGGCAGCAGTTAGGTGAAGATTCTCTTTTAGGGTAAGAGTCATGTCTCTTATTTATTGTTATGTGAGTGGTCCTTAATCATGATCCTTGTATTTTAATGCACATACTCTCATTGATTTGCAATTCTCTAAGTTGAATAGATTACAATTATCTACTTAATACTAAATGTTGTCTACTAGTAATTAAAACTAGTTGCACCTGGTCATGCCAGTTACTAGTACTCTCCTTTCTTCTCACTGCAGATATTTTTTTGTTAGATCCAACAATATCCCCCTCTGATGTTATTATTCTTCTTATCACCTTTTGCTTCAAAATCTAGTGATAATTGTAATAAATTCCTTTTTAATCAATTCCAGAGTGAAAGGGGTAAGTGGTTATGTATCAAAGGATGACAGCAATTTATACTGTTCCTTTTCAGTAAAGTGATGCAGAAAGCAGGGGATGTGCAGACTTCACTGGCAAGAGAACTTGCAGAGTATGAAATGCAAGTAGAGAAGGATGTCTTGGCACCCATGACATCACTACTTGAGGTAATCAAGTGTTTAAACTATAATTAACTTTTAAATTGTATCTAGTATTACATGTACAAACATTGTATTGTCATCTACATTTTATATATTAAGTGCCCAAGTGAAATGAAGCAGCAAAATCTCTTTGAAAAATTCTTTGAATTAAAAAAACATTTTCTTTGGTGGTGTTGTTGTTTATGGCCTTTCCTCTGCATGTACTCCAACCCTTTGGAGATCTACATTGTACATAAGATGCTTATAATCTTAATTTGTACTACTGTAGATTTTTTGATTTTAATAGAATGATATTCCAAATATCACACAAACAAAGAAGAAATTGACAAAGACCAGGCTTGATATGGATACTGTTAAATCAAGGTATGTCCAAACCTGAAAAGCATAAAAGCAGTCAAAAGTAATCTACACCTTTGATTCTGTGAGCATTAATCAAGATCAGTTGTTTGAAAACCAATACTATATGTGAGATTAAAGTGCATAGACAGTTGAGTAAAGCCCCTGTAGAGATGTTAGGGAAACTAATGAAAGTAAAGTTTTTAATCTGAAACCTGCAATACCTCAATATGTTATTATCATGATAAGTCGTGATTATGGTCATGAAAAAAAGAATTAGATTTACTATATTCAATGTCATTTGATTTTAGTATTGTATGCTTCCTTTTAATTCTGTGAAATTTGGATTGTTATGCTTAAAGATGGACAGCTGCTGTCAAAGTCTCCCATGGGTCAAGCAAAGATATGCAAGCTGCTGCAAACAAGGCAGATGCCCTGAAGGATGAATATGAGGAAGAAACTTCCAAATTTGAAACCTGTCAGGTGAGTGCTCCTGGTTTGAATTAGCTTTATATTACATAATAGTGGAACTATCAATAAACAGGTAACCTTGATTGACACATGACTTTAAGGAAATCCATACATTGGTTGTTTCTTGCATTGGTCTGAATTGATCTTCAGATCTGCCGAACATTTTTGGGTATCAAACCTTTGTATCCTAGCCAAGGAAAACACCTAGTTTGTACTGAATTGGGCTTCTCTTAAACCAACATGAGCTTATTGAAATGATCACATTGTAGTTAATGATATGAAATGAAGTTCATTTAATATTTAGTTCTTATTAACCGAGTGGGAGGTCTTTATGGGAGAATCTTGACTGAGGTCACCAGTGTAGACCGAACGCAGTGAGGTCTGTACCAGCAACAGAGGTCAAGAGTCTCCCACACGGACCGACCTAGCTCGGTTAATAAGATGGCTGTGTCTTATATGCCAGTTTTTTATATTCTTTGTACCTTTTTTTCTAGACCGGTCTAGATGTCAGTCTAGATAGGAAAATCTAGACCGCTTTTAATATTGATTTCAGCCAATCAAATTCGTGAATTTGGTAGTTCCCAGTCTTTGTGAGACACAGCCATATAATGAATAGTATTATTAAAAAACTAGATCATTGGATAATGCAATTCAAGACTTTTTACTGGCTTAGCCATTATGGTATATCAGCCAATATACCATAATCTACAAATATGGCAAGCGTACGTGTCAGCTTAAAATTAAAAGGGAGCTAAAAATTTAATAAAATTTAATAATTTAATATAACGTTTTTAATAAAACAATTATTCCACTCACGCTTGTTGGATATGAGATGATTATAGCCAACTTGGCGCTACGCGCCTTGTTGGCTATCTATCATCTCATATCCAACGCGCGCTCGTGGAATAATTGTTAAATAGTTTTTGTTTATATAACGACTACCCTGAATTTTGTTCTCCAGGACACTCTCACTACAGAACTTTTGAAGTTTGTAGCAAGGGAAGGAGAATATGCCAACTGGATAATAAAGGTGTTGTTTTTAACTATCCAAGGGCTAAATGCTAGTTTCTTGTTAATGAAGGTTATTTCACTGTAAACCCAAACATTTATTACAAGTTGAATTGTTTTACATTCTTCTTTCATGTTTCAGTACATCGAAGCCCAGCTGGATTATCATCAAAGAGCCATGTCAGTACTTGACAATGTCTTGCCTGATCTCAGGTCCCTCTTGGGTAATTTGGTTCTTTCTAATCCTGATTATTATTTTTTTGCAGTAGGGTATGGCATAGCGATACATATCTCAGTCTATGATTTGACCTCAGACAAGTCAAATATATTGCTGGGTTAGGGGAATTATTAAAGCATGGTGTTCAATGTAGTAGTAAACTTATTGCCTGTTCAATGGTCATCAGAGACTTAATTGTGTGAGAAGCAATATTATCTTTGCTTCACCAACAAGTTGTCCTCAAATGGGCTGAAAACTCAACTCAAAGCTTACTTCTCCTTAAAGTAGAAAGTTAGTGTCAGAACACTGTGTTATCTCATTGTATTTGCTCCTCACTGTATAGTTACTTATTTTATGATCCAATTAGATGAATCAGAACTTCAACCAGTATATGGCTGTCCACTGGAGGACCATCTTAGAATACAGGAAAGAGAAATAGCCTTTGTGATCGAAGAATGTGCCTCATTTCTGTACAGAGAAGCCATGGATGTACAAGTAAGGATGTGCCCTTCCTGCATTTTATCCTACTGTGTCACTGGCTTTAATACAGCTTGAAATCAGATTTTCATCCATACTGACTTAGTGGATAACATTGTTCCAGTAGTTCTAAAAAACTCACATGGGAGTAATTAATACCGGTAAATTGTATTGTTCTTTGACTTATTTTAATGTAGTTAGTTTTGTTTGAATAGAAAACTGAATGCAGTATTAACAAGTCAATCATACAGAGTTTTGGGGTATTACTACTGTTGATGACAGAAGAATACTTCAAGATTGACTTGTGTATTGTGTTACCCTACTACTGCAGCATAGATGTTGAATTCACAGTTCAGGAGTTTTGCTTTTTTTCTTCTTCTTTTAAGGGACTATTTAGACTTGCTGGTAGTACTGCCAAAATCCGAAAACTTACGGTAAGTTTTCTTTATAGCTCTCAGGTAGTGAAGACAAGTGAAAGAGAAGGTGTATGAATTATATTTCACCTTTCGTAATTTGATTCCAGTTTTCCTGTTCATTTATTGGTTTACTGGTTTATTCATTCATTCATTCTATGATTGTTGTTGCTTTTATTTTATTGAAGTGATAATAAATAAATGTGGTATCAATTCAAATATTACCTTATTTGTTTATTGTGTTGTTTGCAAATTTTCAGGCTGAATTTGATGCTGGTTTAGTAGACTTGTCAGAGTTTGAGGGCGATGTTCACGTTGTCACAGGTATCATATCATCAATTATATACACTGTACCCTCAATGATATTTGTTAAATTTACCAATAACAACAGTACCAAAAAGGAAATGAGGAACTTAAATCAAACTACAATGCACACATCTTTAATCTTTGAAGAAAAGATAAGGTTTTTGTCGTTTTAAGGTAAACCTCCTTCTTTCTTTACAGGAGCACTTAAGCAGTATCTTAGAGAGCTTCCTGAGCCCTTGATGACTTCTAAATTGTACAGTGAATGGATACAGGCATCAACGTAAGGAAAAACTATGGTCTCTAAATGTGATACTGTTAAAAATGTTGTGCAAGGTTGTTGTGACTTGCTAAGCCTATGAGATAGCACAATTATGACTTATATTTGGGTGTGCCATGTGGGTAAAGTCTTGCCTTTTTGGATCTTTTTCTTTGCATGCACCTTTTCTGGATAACACTTTGTGTTGTGCAAAAACTCAATCCTCTCTAACCAGTAACTATTAAACAGGCACTTGGGGCTGGACCCTGCTGTTCAGATTCTTTGGCCACTTTTTTTTTTTTTTTTATGAGACAGACACATTTTTAGACAGTTCCCTGGTACTTTGCTTGATGGTGTTTTCGTTTGGTGAGGTGACTGTTCACATTTTTTTTTATTACAGGATTCAAGATAATGGTGCAAAGTTACAAGCATACTGGACAATTATAGAAAAAATGCCATCTATGTACAAAGGCAACCTAAGGTGAGAATAAATATACATGGCAAATGTTTGAGTGGGCGGGCTAAAGACAAACTTGTAAAATTCAGTCAATGAGGCAGGAGACGACACCGCAGAAATACGTTTTTTAAGGCACGATACAGTATTTTATTGGTCAGCGGACACCTCAACAAAACCATAAAATGCCGTTAACTTTTACAATGTTTTCGCCGTGAGTCAAATCGACAGCGTAAAAAGGCTAAACTTAGAAAGAATACTGTAAACTTAGCTTTGAAACTCCGTTCACCATTTGGATAGTTCTCAAGCTCAATTATATAATTTGCCAAAGCCGAACTGAAGTTGCACATGATATGAAATTGTTGTTTTTCGCTGGCAGCTCTGTGGCAACTAAGTTTTGTTTATAGAAGAGCATAAGCACTAAGGCTAAAAATGAGACGGTTTTTGAATGGCTGAAGCGGTGATCCGAGGACGCTGCACCATCAGCTTTGTAAAGCAGTGGCTTGAACCGTATAAATCGGCATGTCAACGGCATTCCGGTCAGATTC